TCGAATTCCAACTGCCAGGGGATCTTTTACGTGCACGCCAATGTGTACACGGGACCTCGGTTTTTCGTCCCATCCGAACGACTAGGCAGCTGTCCTAGTCAGGCCCTCCGTTCTGCATCACTGACAAGGGGAAACCATGCCGGAAAATCGAGATGAACTTTCTGGGCCAATGCAGGGATCGAACACCCGACCTCCAGGCTAAATTAGTATACAAGTTTAAAGCATGATTTAAAAAAAAACAAATGTTGAAATAAGTTACGCTAATGCACATACTTTTTTAAAAACTCGTTCATCGAGATTTTCCGGCATGGTTCCCCCTTGTCGGTGATGCAAGCAGGCCCGTAGCCAAGGGGGGGGGGGCCTGGAAATAATCTTGCCACCCCCCTGACAAAAGGTTGTCGACCATATCCCCTGCTTGGGGGGGCGAGAGAACCCCCCCCCCCCCCCGGGGCTGCCCCCCCCCCCCCTGCGCCAGCAAGCTGGCTACGGGCCTGGATGCAAGACGGGGGGGACTGACAAGGACAGCTGTCTAGTCGTTCGGATGAACCGAGGTCCCGTGTGTACATTAGAATGCACGTAAAAGATCCCTTGGCAGTTGGAATTCGATATAGGCGATAGTGGCGCTGCCCGGGCAAAATTTCCCTCATAGCACACTGTATGGCGTATGCCCGTCTTCATTAGCCCAGCATAGGAGCAGAACAGTAGGACGTTAAACCCAATTTCATTTCATTTTTTTAAAACTCAATTTCGCCTATTTCTTTGGCGTAAACAGATCCCCACCACCACCTAAAGAGTAAAGACACAGGCTCTCCACACATTATACATGTTCCCCATCCCACTCCAGGTAGATCTCTCTGAATACGGTCGAGTGCGAGAACATCGGAACCTCTCGGTATGACTTTATGACTAGAACACGGTAATAAATATTTAAGCGAATGGCGATGCACGTGTGTGTCGTCGCAAGGCTTTCTTTAAACACTTACAGATGCAACACAAAAGAAATTCGTGTCTTAGGAATGTCTTAATTAGAAAAACCTGGCCGATACTATTACGACACTGACAGAAACTCGCTAAAGGAATATGCCTATAAATAACATGAGAAACCAGTGATCACTTGATTTGATATTTGATATTTGCTGCTGTTTATTTTTTCCAATGTTTGCATAGTTTGTCTTGTCCATAGTTTTATCTTATCGGGTTGGTTTTGTATGTAGTGCGATCGCCTTGCGCTTACTATTACAGGAGTTGTTAAACATTCAACACTCACACGATAGAAACGATCAATGGTCAAGATATGGTAAATGTGTATAAACAAATTATGAAATCTATCCCTTCAGTGATTTGTTATAATGTTGCTAATGTACATGGAAAGTTAGCGAGCGCAGTGCATACACCGAAGGGAGTCGGAAGAGAAATGGTAGCTAAGATTATGAAATAAGATGTAATCGAATTTAGAACTTTTCCTGCAAAATATAACTTCATTATACAATTTGAACAGAGATTGTATACTGGGTAGCTGTTGTTTTTGGATATGCATGTGATGGCAATAGGCTACACATTAGTTAAGTACGACCCGCGAAACTAAGGTTTAAATTAAATAAAATGTAATCGAATTTAGAACCTATTCCTGCAAATACAACTTCAGTATATAATGTGTGCAAAGGCTGTATGCTGCTAGTTCTGTTGAGTTTGGTCGCCTGCCAAACATCGTGGATTTTCTCCGGGTCCTCCGGTTTGCTCCCACTGCTAAAGACCCCTACGCGCAAGCGAATTATTGAAATAAAATTGAACCGTATGTTAGACCCGAAATTACCTAGTTTGTGTTGAGTGGACGTTACACCCCATTTCTCTCTCCGCCTTGGTAGTGAGATAGCGCCATGGTCGCCGAGTCTCCAAACATTGTACGGAAAATAAGAATAAAAAAATCTGTTATCGTAGTCTCTCTCTCTCTCTCTCTGTGTTGATTTTGGATATACGTGTGGCGATATACATTAGTTAAGCCACGCAAGGGTAGATAATGGAAAATCAAGATTATTGTTGAATTTATATAAGTTGTTCTCGCAAATATAACTTCGGTATACAGTATGTACAAAGGCTGTGTAGTGTTGTTTTTCGATATGCATGCATGTGATGGCAATAGGCTACACAATAGGCGTGAGAGGATAATATACAAATCTAAGATTATTGAATAAAATGTGATCGAATGTATAACTTGTTCCGGTTACTGTAATTTTGATATACAATATGTACACATGAATAAATACTGCAGCGGCCGTTGAATTTTAGAACATATATCTTGGATATACAATATGTGCACATGAATATATGGGAGCCGTTGGGCAGGACGAGAATAGCGAACTAATATTACACATGAATTAATATTGCAGGAACCGTTGAATAAGACGGAGAATAGCGAACTAAGATTATTAAATAAAATATAATCGAATTTTAGAACATATCCCTGTATAAATATCAGAGAGAGGGAGAGAGAGAGAGAGAGAAATGGGGTTTAACGTCCACTCGACACAAACTAGGTCATTTCGGGACTAACATATGGTTTAATTTTATTTACATAATTCGCTTGCGCGTAGGGGTCTTTGGCAGTGGGAAGAAACCGGAGGACCCGGAGAAAACCCACGAGGTTGGACAGGCGACCCTATGTATAAATATAACTTACAATATTCACAAATTAATACATGTATTATACCACAGGATATAATATACGAACATATGTTCTGGTAATATACAGTTGATATAATAATAATAATAATGTATATTTGTAAAGCGCCAATCCATCCACAAATGCATGCTCTAGGTGCGTACTATATACTGTATGGTCTCTATTTACACACATATCGGGATCCATTCTAGCTAAAATGCACTGGTAAATAGATGAGTTTTTAGTTTTGTTTTAAAAGATTCAAAGTGATGGAGCTGTTTTAAGGCCATGGGGTAAAATATCTAAGGAGTTGGAAGATGTATACACGTAGATCTAGTAATATACAATTTATTATGTATGTACAGTACACAGTTGGAAGATAGTGGTGAACAACCAAGATCATTTAAAGGGCCAATCCCGATAATATTTTGGAGAATAAAACTGCTTAATTTTGTGTTAAAACCCCTTAAAATCCCGTACCTAAGGGCCGAGCAACTAATTCAATATTTGTGATATGTTTTCAAACAACTTACACCCGTCAATCTTCATCTGGAAATGGAGACCGGTGTCCCAAGCTGTATTATGTGGTGTCTGGATAAAACCAGACTTTTATTTTATAAAAACAATGTGTAGGTGAAATTTACCTTTCGTTATCCAGTACGGAGCATGGTTCCATCGCTGTATAGACCTCTAAAGGAACGGCGATAGATTATCAGGCCACCCAACGAAAAAATTGACCAGAAATCTTAAAGCTGCAATTTCATATTTTTAAGTTCTATTTTTAAAATTTATTAAAATAAAGCCTTAAAATAGATGGTATCCATAAACCGTCCTACCTTGTTAAAGAATAATCCTATTAATCCTATAAGGCACTATTGCCAGCTGAGAAATTGACTAAAATATCATTTTCAACTTCAAATTCCAACGTTTGAAGGTAGCAATAGGAAAACAAGGGAGGTAATTGTGTTATTTCCTGTGTCAATGATTTTTAAGGGTGGGAAATAATGCCCATGGTCATAAAATAGTGAGTTGATAACCTATTGAGCAAAAGACGTAGAAATAATTATGTTTTGACTTTCTTAGAAAATATGAAATTATCGCTTTAAAAGGGTTACGTGTCCGGATAAGCATTTTTAAAGTTCACATCCAAACAACTCAATATTTTGAGCTGAAATTTTGAGACAAGGTAAATACACCATTCCTCAATATTTTGGCGCTTAAATTTTATACGAACTCAGACTTTTATTTTTGAGACTTTGTTCAAATCAGGATAGTCCCTTTAAAATAAAATACAACCAAACTTCAGAACTTGTTGAAATATACATATTAGTATCTATAAAGCTATATACTGCCGGATATAATATTGTTGAAGATATACACATGTTCTGGTATATATAGAGGGTTGAAAGAGACTGCCGAACAATCGAGTTTTAGAACCGGTTCCTGCAATATGTATACATGTACAATCTAGACAGTTACACTGCGGAATATGTTGCTGATAATATACACATGTTCCAGTAATATACAGCAAGTAAACAAGAGAGGGAGGAAAAGAGAGGGAGAGAAATGTGGTTTAATGTTCACTCGACACCAACTCGGTCATTTCGGGACTAACATGGTTCAATTTTATATCAATAATTCGCTTGTGCATAATGGGTCTTTAGCAGTGAGAGGAAACCGGAAGACCCGGAGAAACCCCACGAGGTAGGACAGGCAACCCTATTCCTTGTCACGTAAAAACCGGGGAATCGAAACCACACCAGTTGACTCAATGACAGACCTTATGATACAACGCGCTAACCATTTGACCATCAACCCCTATCCCTCCCAAGTAAATAAGGGGTTTGACGATAATGGGGAAATTAACATTTTTCCATAAAAAATATAACCAAATTTAGAACTCGTTCCTTCAATATAAACTCTAGAGTGCAATATACAGCAAGTAAATAAGGGGTTTAACATAATGGGAAATTAATATTTTTAGATAAAAAATATTATCGAATTTAGAACTCGTTCCTGCAGTATACAATCTACAAAGTACTATATACGTTGGGACCTGTTGTTGAGATTAAACACATGTTCTGACAGTAAGTAAGGATTTGAAAGATAACGGGGAAGCAAAGATTATTAAATGAAATATAATCGAATTTATAACCTGTGTATCCGTAAATATAAAACATAGCTTAGGTATATAATATCTATAAAGTAATATGTACTATAACAGCTCTGTTGTTTAAGATACGCACATGTTCTAGCAGCATACAGCAGCTAAGTAGAACACCATACAGGCATAGGTCATGATCATAACACAGTAAATACTATAGACAATAATATAACTTACCAATAATATACGATAACTTCCACACAACGGCTATCCAATATATTAACACATAAACAATTGAAAACAACTTTTTTTCTTTACAATCCCGCAGAAAAGTATTAAAAGACACGCGATGTGTTTAAAGTTGATTGGCGAAAGTTTTTCAACAGCACTATAAGAGACTTTGAACTGTGATAATACACGGTTTGAAACTGATGTGTAGAGTGTATTGTAAGCTAATACCAATACAAGCCACTACATCATCACTACTTACTATAATACTCTATCCTCCTCGCGCTTCTCTCGTGCTGCTCTCGCTCTATAGTCACGTGACAGTAAGAACGGTACGCTGGAGCTCTACGGCGCACGAGACATGTGGAATAGTTAGTTGTGTGCTGTAACTGTAGTGGAATCGATACATGCCATTCAGGGGATTTACAAACAACATTTTCAAATGCTTGTTAGTCTTAACGATGGGGGTAGATTAATCTTCCATTTTATCCGAGATAATCTCAGAAATTAATTAAGATGCTTCGTGTTTAATAGAAACGGGACTCGAGAATTATCGATACATGACATGTCAGGAAACAGAGAAGCCATTTAGTGACAATAGTAATTGATAAATGCTTAGTATCACTAATACAAATGAAATGAAATGGGGTTTAACGTCCTACTGTTCGGCTCCGAACTGAGCTAATGAATACGGGCATACGCCATACAGTGTGCTATTAGGGACATTTTGCCCGGACAGCGGCACTACGGCGTACTCTTATATCGAATTCCAACTGTCAAGAGATCTTTTACGTGAAAGCCAATATGTACACGGGACCTCGGTTTTTTGTCCCACCCGAACGACTAGACAGCTGTCCTTGTTAGGGCCTCCTTCCTGCGATACTGACAAGTCAGATCAAATGAGGGGATTGGATGGCTGAATGGTTAGCGTGTGCGCGCTGTATCATAATGTCTACCATTAAGTCAACTGGCGTTGTTTCTATTCCCCAGCGGTACGTGACAAGGAGTAGGATCGTCTGTCCAACCTCGTGGGTTTTCTCCGGGTCCTCCGGATTCCTCCCACTGCTACGCACAAACGAATTATTTAAATAAAATTAAACCATACGTTAGTCCCGAAATGACCTAGTTTGTGTCGAGTGGACGTTAAACCCATCTCTCTCTCTCTCTCTCTCTCTCTCTCTCTCTCTCGGTTCAAATGAAGTACAGTATGACATATTCATTGGTGTGAATGATTATAAAAATATCTTCTATTGTCATGAATATAAAATGAGCAAGCTGTCAGCCTTTCTATTTGTCTATTTCACCCCGTTTATTAATAATTATATAGATCCCACGTCAATAAAGTATTTTATATATCTCTTTGTGTGATATTTAATAGGTATAATACACGTTCGCTTTAATCGCTCTACACATAGACAATACCGACTATTGCGCAGCACAACCGAGGAAATGAAATGTAGGTCCCGTGTATACATTGGCGTGCACGTTAAAGATCCTTTGGCAGTTGAAATTAAATATAGAAGTAGGCCGTAGTGCCGCTGCGCGGGAAAAAATTCCATGAAATGTAGGTCCCGTGAATACATTGTCGTGCATGTAAAAGATCGTGCATGTAGGTCATAGTGCCGCTGCCCGGGAAAAAATTTCCCTCATAGCAAACTACATTGTGTTTGACAGTCGGAGCAGAACAGTAGGACGTTAAACCCCATTTAACGTCCTACTGTTCTGCATCGACTGGTTTTTTCGTCCCAATCTGTCCTGCATCACTGACAAGGTGGGACAACGCTGGAAAATCCGATGACATTTTGTCGGCCAACAAGGTTTTTTTTTACGTTAATACCAACGTCTGGATGGTATACGTTTGCTTTTCGTGACCACCGAAAGAATGCACCAATTGGGGCAATAAAGACGATCCATCCGACGGACTAGGCGTTCTGACCTACTCTTATTTCGAATCGTGAAAGCCAAGGTATACACGACTGAACCAAGGTTTTTACGTCCCAACCGAACGACAAAATAAAATTAAATGGGGTTTAACGTCCTACTTTTCTGCTCCGACTTTGCTAATAAAGACGGACTTACGCCATACAGTGTGCTATGAGGAAAATTTTGCCCAGACTGCCAAAGGATCTTTAACGTTCACGCGAATGTGTACACGGGATCTCGGTTTTTCGTCCCATCCGAAGGACTAGACAGCTGTCCCCGAACGACGTAAAACAACGCTTTACATTTTCAGGCGTTTCGACGAGGATTCACTAGACTTCCTTGATAACGATGATTGAAGGACAAGTGGGAAGAAATGATTGTCATTTTGACACATGTGGTTTATAATTTATCTATATATATGGTAATTTATGGTAATTTATGGTAATTTATTCATAGAGTGTAAGTATTGGGTGTATTTATTTGTAAAGCAAACGGTAATTTAGTTAGTACAGTATCTTACTAGCATATTTCAGTCGTTAGTGGTAATAAAAGAGGGCGCTAAGTGAGTAAGACGCTGGCTCGCTAGCCTGGAGGTCGGGTGTTCGATCCCTGCATTGCCCAAGAAAGTTCAGCGGGATTTTTCGGCGTTGTTTCCCCTTGTCAGTGATGCAGGACGGAGGGCCTGGCAAGGATAGCTGTCTAGTCGTTCGGATGTGACGAAAACCGAGGATTATTCCGAAGTGGTTTCCCCTTTGTCAGTGATGCAGGACGTGGGGCCTGACAAGGACAGCTGTCTAGTCATTCGTGTGGGAGAAAAACCTAGGTCTTGTGTATACATTGGTGTACACGTAAAAGTTCCCTTGACAGTTGGAATTCGATATAATAGTAGGCCATAGTGCTGTTACCCGGGCAAAAATTGCCTCATGGCACACTCAATGGCGTATGTCCGCCTTCATTAGCCCAGTCAGAGCAGAACAGTGGGGCGTTAAACCCCATTTCATTTTTATGCAAAAAAAACTTGTATAGCTTAAACATACATTATGCAAGAGCTAAACCTGTCTATTGCAGGTCTTTCTTAAGGACTGAAATGTTATCTAAATTATATATTAGACATTAATTAACTTATCCAGACCATAATCTACACTCGATGTTATCGCTAGCCTGCTGGATTAGGATTCGATTTGCTGCTCAACTTTCATTCATGATTTAATCATGAAATGGATAATCGAGACTACATGCATGTTTTTATCGTACCGACTTAAGTAATGATGATCGATACTAGGCCGAAAATTCAATCGCTAAATTCTCAGTTAAGAGAGGAGCAATTTGATTGAAATTTGCAGCATATTCCCTTTACATTATCTATTTTTTAACTATTATTGTGAGAACTGCCAGCTCTTTATCTTATATCCCATAATGTATCTTTAAACTCTGTTGATTTATTAATTCCTACGCTGTGTCACTCGTTGGCATCCCCGTGCACACTTGAGAGACAAAATGAAATGAAATGGAAGCATATCTTTTTTTTATTATTATTAATTTCATTCATAAAACGCAGATTAATGCGCCAGAAACTTGCACAAATCGGGCATGAAATTACAGATGTTTTGAATTGTGTGTAGATGGCGGTGTGTTGAGATTGCCAGTCGGTGAGTTTTTCGTATTTTTTTTTTATTTTAAACATTTTTTTTGTGATGGGAATTGTTAATTACCATAGAAAATGTCTTTAGATACATAAAATTAAACTTGTCATATCCCTATTTTTATTCCGTTTCCAAATATAATCATTTTATCGTCGCTCTGTCGAACTGAAAGCTAACCATTGTAGCGAACCGTTGTGTAATTACCACATGTCAGTCACGTGATCTCTCTACAGGACCGGATTCACGCCAATTAGTCACGTGGCTAACATGTCCGGTCAAGCGACTAGTGTTACGTAACATGCTAAATATCCTACACTGGTGGCTTGGAATTACTCAATTATTAACTGTTCCTTCAATTTTTCATCAAAATAGAAATTTGCTTGTTTCAATTTTTTTCATTTACAAAAAAAATGAGTCAATTTCGACTTGATCCCCTACGACATAGGAAAACAACGCTTAATGGCGTTTCTATAATCCTAAACAATGTTTTATTTTAAGAGATAATGCTTTCAAGGGAGATAATAAGGCCCGGAGTTCATGTTGGCTGGAATTGCACCACAATTCTCTACTTCATTAACTGCAATGTATATTTCTTGTAATGCCCTCACACAGGTGTGGCCAACCAAAAGATAGCAGTTTAACGTCCACTAACTAGGTTATTTCGAAACTAACGTATACGGGTACTTGTTCTTTACGGATGTTTTGGGGGCTTTTTTTTACTCTTTTAAAAATTCAATTATCAGGCAAATTGACAACAAAACCTACCCCGCACCTGGTGTATGTATCTTACCCAAAATGTTTTCTTGGTACGCCAGCCATAAATGTCTAGATGATATGTCATTCTCAACTGATCAGCAGTGAATATTCGCTAGGCCGCTACAATCACTGGAACATAAACATCGGTGCGGGTTAATTAGCTCGCTATATTAACTTTTTTCCTTCTGCAAATTAAATTCTGGAACATTTTTTGTTGTTAGGTGTTTGAAGTGTGAACAGTGTAAATCTGCATATAAAGTGAGTAAAAGGCATGGACCAGACGCCTTGTCACGTTCAAGCAGTCAATCGAAACCAAGCCACTTGACTCGATGACAGACCTTTTGTGATTCCACGCGCACGCGTTAATCGCTAGACCACCCCAACCCCCAAATGGCCAAAGTATTGTATTTTCAAGACATTAAAAACCATTCAATTTTAGTCATCGTCTAGTGGAAGACAAGTCCCCTGATGTTCAAGAACCAATAATAGAACAGATCACGTGGGAAACCGAAATAAAACATACATTGTAAAAACCAATTTACTCAACCCTGATTAAATATCATTGCACTTTCACGCTCAAATCTCGCGAGAATTAAGCATGCCCCTGATGTAATTATTGTTTAAATTGAAAGCGAGGTGATGTCTGGTTGTGGTGGGTTTTTAAGAATTCAGTAGGAATCTCCGACTTAATCTAAACTGATAACTGTCCATAATGTGATACGTGGTTCATGTTTTACCACATTATACATTAAGAGACATGCCACTGAGAGAGAGAGAGAGAGAGAGAGAGAGAGAGAGAGAGAGAAATGGGGTTTAACGTCCACTCGACACAAACTAGGTCATTTCGGGACTAACATATGGTTAATTTTATTTCATTGATTCGCCTGCGCATAGGGGTCTTTAGCAGTGGGAGGAAACCGGAGGACCCGGAGAAAACCCACGAGGTTGGACAGGCGA